TTTGTTTTCCGCAATGTTATATGAATTCCCCGAAAACTGCATTTGCAATATTGTTTTTTTTACCGAAATTGATTGCGTTTTTTTCTTGTAGCTTATTTCAAATCTGGCTATTTTTCCAGATGTTTCGAAAACCTACAAAAAAGGGTGCATTTCGCAAAAGAACTGAAAGTGATGAGAAGGATGAATCTGGAAATGCAGTCGAGGTTCCCACTGGCACTTCCCGTAAAGAAGCAGTTTCATCAAAAGTCAGCGAAGAAGATGCCGTAGACTCGCCGGTACCGAAACCACCAGCTCTTCTTAGTTTTGACAACGATGAAGGTGGCGATTCAGCATTGCTAGCCCAGTATATAACTTGTGGGATTTTATTTTTGCCTTAAACTACCTGATCAGTGCCATTTAGTATATCGAAGCAATTGTATGAGCACCTGCTATATATTTATTCAGGAGCCGATGTTGACTTTGTACTAAAGAAGAATAAGAAGAAGGTAAAAGAGCTGAAGAAATTAGCAAAACTTGAAGAAGAAGCAGAACTTGAGCGTCAGCGAGAAGAAGAAGAACGGAGAGAGAATGAACGGAAAGAGAAAGAAAAGAGGAAAAGAGATAAAGAGAAGCATAAGAGCAAGGATACAAGAGATTCGAGAAACCGATACTTGGACAAATATCGCGATTGCTCAAGCAAAGTGGGTGCTTCTCAAATATTGCCAGTGCTTTGCAGCACGATAAATTATTTTTCTTTAATTTCCTACCAATCTGGCCCTATACAGCATCTGCCTCTTTTTGTAATATTGTTAGCTAAGTGGACCTATTGTTTCCATATCGTTTCAGTCCATCAAAATAAACAAACCAGCGGTCTTTTTCCATAAATTACATACATCTAAGTGTTCAAACGGTGAAATTACATTCACTCTAGTATATTCCAACGTTTCCAAAGTATGTGTGCCATGTCAAGGGTACAAGTATTTTAGCCTAGACGTAAGCAAGCCTACTGTCAGAGCAGAGCATCTAAAGGACAGAGCCTTTTAAGATTCTACGCCAAACTTTTACAGCTTGTTCTTTGTTCCTTTCGTTTATCTTGGGAGTGGCAAATGAACTTTTCACTACTTCTTATTTTGATTATCAGTCTTGGTTGGCTTTGTACTATCTGCTGTCAGATTAAACAATACCTCTTGCTTGATTCATTTTAGTATCTTCTGAATTCTCAATGTAATCTAAAAGTACCGTCCTCTTGTTTAGGTTAAGCCGCCTCCTCCCGATAGCGACGATGAAGTTGATGAAGCCCATTCCAAGTTCCCGGGAACTATGTGTAAGAGTTGAAACATTTTTGATTCATTAAATATACGACTTGAATCACTTTAGCTGCAATACCTGACTCTCGAGCAGTGTATGAGGCGAAAAAACGACGTGAACGTTTAAGAAGAGAGGGAGCAGAAGGGTTGGTGTATCTTCTTAACTGAACGCATGCGTGTCTCGTAAGAGTGGTACTTTGTAGGATGATCCCCTTAGACGACGATCAGAAGCTGGCTGAAAAAGGAGTCAGATCCCGCTTGATAAGAGAGGATGAGAACGATGATTCCGACGAAGAAGCACCTAAGTAAGTATTTTTCTGTTTTCTAAAAGCTTAGTGTGAGCCTCTTTTGCTAATTTATATTTTTCTTAGGTTCTACTCGTCAAAAGATTTGCTCCGAGTCGAAGAAGAACGTCGACGAGAAGAACAAGATCATTTCTTGGAGCAGGAGCAAGGTGACGAAAGAGATGTAGACGAGGAGGCAGATGAATGGGAGAAGCAGCAAATTCTTAAAGCTGTTGGACGACACACGGTATTTCTCATAATCTTATTTCGGTGATACTTATGTTCTCTACTTATCATTATTTACCGCTTAGATCGGCCAGATACGAGCTGACTATGACAACTCC